AAAACGGAGCGATATTGCTTTGTCGTAATACACAGCAAGTCTACCAGTCAGAAACCAGAACGTTTAAAGGACACTCCAGCAAGAACTGCAGTTCAAGCAGGCCAGAAAAACTACAGCTTCCTAACAAGACGTCACCAGACTGTGGCCACAGTACGCTGCAACAGAAACCCCGTTTGAACAAGCTTTTTAGTCGGTTGACATGCTGCCAATCCCCTAGACAATAAGAAAGCAGAGACAGCAAAGAAAGCGTGGACAAGAACAAGCACACACGAAATACCTACCCGACTGTGCTGGACCATTGCAATAAACCCTCACAAAACAAGCAGCAGAGTGGACCAGGAATGGATACCTAAAAAGTCAAGCCCTGCTTTCTCTGACAGCGGGTCTTCTCCTCCCGAGGCGCAGCGCAGACAGGACAGAGGCGGCCCGGCCAGCCCAGCAGTCTGCTGCAACAAAAAAGGCAATGACCTGAGGCCACGGTACACGGCCGAGAGGGCCAGGGTAAAGGCCATGGGCTAGCCCCGCAGAGAGGACAAAGACAAAGGAGCAGTGGAGAGTTATCAGAGAGCAATAGCTATCGTTACACAAAACTAACGGAGGCAAATCTAAACAGAATTCTGAAAAAGAGAGCAGATTGCCAGCACACATCCATAGACAGTGCTGAAGCCAGGAGGAGTTAGGAAGACCCCCAGCAATCAGGTAGGCTAACACAGGAGAACTGCTCAGATAAGAGGACTAGAACGCCTAAGATACCCAGCTGGAACAGAGGCAGAAGCCACATCCTCAAGTAGGGTGCATGCTAGTGAAATTTTGACTTTAACAAGTTTGTTACAACTTGTACGAGATCGTGTTTTAAGTAGTTATTAAAAGACAAGTCACAACAACTTAGAAGGAAACTGGAGAGAAATGCACAAAATGCAGGACAGAAAAAGTCTGGAGAAAGGACAGGAACGTATTCAGAATGAATTGCAGTGGCAACGTCTTGGTAAATAACTCTCAGGAACCAACTACCTTCTTCCAAGTTGGTCAGTCCTGTTAACCACCAAACATACATGGTGCAAGCTGGACTACCTTGACATATATGTATAAAAACGTACACCCTGCCTAAGACATTGGGAAGAGCAGTCAGCAGAAATCCAAGAAACAGGCAATAGCCTACACTGTAATTTAGCATGCGCTATATTGTTATTTACACAGCTATCATCTTTCTTATACGCACAGACTGAAACCTAAACCTAAGAACAACAAAAGTCACCTACACACAACAGCCCAGACTTTTCGGCTCTGCACTTCACGTTGCTTTTACGCCCACGTTGAACACCAATCTCAGGTAACATAAATCACTTCACCACTTACTCCCAGTATGGAATCCTTGTCACTACTGGATTTCAATCCCAATTTCAGTACAGTACACAAAGTGCTGTGCGTGGCTTCAGTTAGTAGAGTTCATGATTCCTTCATCTTCCCAGCACACTGCCAGCACTAGTAACTGCTCGCTGTCTGCTTTTGGGCCTGATAGCTCAGCACTAGAAGATTGTTATCGCTCAGACACACGGGGATTAGTGTTATCCACGTGCTAACATTCACCCACAGAAGAGCAGCAGCTGGTGGCTGCATGAAGAGCTTCTGGTGTCAAACCCCTGCCATGAGCTCAGCCTTTTCTAGTCTTTCCCTTAATCCAACGGGGGTTTGCTTTATTCCCCTACCTCCCGATCAAGATTTATCTCATTTCCATCGAGTATTTATTAATCAGTTTAATGTTTTTGCTCCGGCAAAGCGAGGCAGTGACCTCTTCCTTCATTACCTTTTCCAAAGCCATTCACTTTTAAAACACTAATGCTCTTCTGGCAGCCAGCTCAGCCAGCGAGACGAGGACACGATGACCTCCTGTGGCAGATTCTGCACATAGCTTCCCCATTACCACCGCAGCACAGTTCTTGCCATCGATTTTTATTTCAAGATTAAATTTGTAACAAGCATCCTCTCCTCACAAACGATGACAGTTTTCAGCAGCCGTGTTCTTCAGTGAACTAACTTCAACACAATTGCCGTTGCACTGACAGTTTTCAATATCTTTTAAAACAAATGCGTAAATTATATGGCCCATGACTCTGGGCCGGTGACCTTTCATGAGGACATCAAAACATCCCACTGAAAAATCTAAAACCAGGGCTGCCTGCATTCTCAATTATTTAACAGAGCACTTCAGAACTACAAAACTGCACATGAATATTAACTAACTAACCCTCCCAGCCTTCTGAAGACATAGGGAGGTATCAATGTTTTAAAGATGAAAAGACGGAGGCAAAGACCGATTTACTCACAGTCACGCAGCGAGTCTAAACAGGAGGTGGGAAAACAACCTCGGAGTCCCTACACCTGGCTACGCTGAAACCTCTAGGCAACAGCAATTGCACGCTGTTTTTTCCTAAGATATAACTTTATTATTAACTACCTACATTCTTCCCTGGTCTATGCTTAACAGCTTACAGTGAATTTCTCCTGTGTCATTTTTATTTCGCTAATATATTCCTGGACTCTTTAATTACTGGAAAAAGAACAGAATTATCTCAATACTAATCACATATTATATACAATTCCGTTATTTTGAAGGCTGCTTAAATAAACAGAAAACAGTAGAAATAGCTAACTGGCACAAAATTATAGAAAATTAAGATCCTCATACAAAATTGGTGGTTGTTCTAAGAGAACTTCAAATCCACTACACAGAAAAGAACTACAAGGACTCAAAATAAAATGAGGCAATATAACATCCATTGCTCACACGTGTACTCACACAGCAATTAAAATATTACCCAATCGATACTTGAATCTGTATCCTAACTGGAAAAAACTTAACAAAACCCACATACCGATTCTGTTTCCCCCATCGTGATGACACCTGATTAAAACAAGCAAGCATTTCTAGCCAATTCCATCAAAGTACCTCTTATCCAACGGAAGAGAAAGGGACACAGCACTCAAAGAAAAAACATCATCTCCAAAGAGCTGGTATCAGTTCAGAAATGTTCCGTGTCTCTAATAGGCAAAAAACCAACACAACAATCCTGTTTTGCGGTAGCCTGGGAACAGATTTAAGCAAAGAAAAGAATACTGACAAATTTGAAAGCCCGAGGTACTGTTAAGGCTGTGAAGTTTCAGCTGACGCACAGGCAGAACCGTCTAAGGACATCTCCGCTTCCGTCTGCTGTGCCTGTCCCACAGGCAAGTACTGCAGCTTCATGTACTTCAGCCCAGCTACTTTCAAAGCCCTGAGGAGCTTGGGGGCGGGTGGGGTGGAGGGGTGTTTTGGGTTGTTTGTTATGTTTTTTCTCCACGGCAATTAAAAACATTGTAATAATTGGTCATGACTTTGCTCCTTCGAACGCAAACTTGGCAGGCAGAGATTTTGTAAAGCTTTCTGGAACGGGAGGCAGATAACCTGCCACAGCATTTCTGTGTGCTCTGTGATGGCTTTAAAAAGAAGTCTTTATTAGAACTCAAGACTTGTTTACTCCGTGCAATGAGCACTGTCATTCCAATTCCTGTAATTAAATCCACAATTTTGACAGCTGAAACTGTAGGAATAATTGCACTGTTAGTCAAAATAAGTTGTTACTGTTCAGACTGTCGCCAAGAATGTTTTAAAGGCTTCTACTATGCGTTTCAAGTAAATCCGAACTAAATCTTCATCCATTCCACCTCACTTCATTTCTGGAGCAAAGATCTTAAAATCTTTACTTTTACTAGGCAACCTTGAAGTCCCGGCCTAAATTTTCTACCATACTACTGCTACGTTCTGCCATAACATAAATATTATACAAAACACTTCTACTGCTCCCTAGGTTATACATATGATACATTTTATATAATCGTGTGTCTCTCTCCCATAAGCTCCTTGCACACGTATGAAAAAAATCTGAAGCAGTCACAGCATTTCAGAAATCTTTGTGAACCTGTACACCAAATACACTGAGAATGCACAATCTTCATTTCATCCATTGTACTAGTATTACGTACCAGCAATCTACAACATTATTTCTTTTACGAGACAAGGGAGCCAACACTATTAAGCATTAAAAAGTCTTTCCAACCACTTTTATTTTTCAGTCAACGGTTAGAGAATGCCAGCACAATTCCAACCACAAAGGAAGAAATTTCATCTCAAATTAGCAGGTAACACAGGCACCACGGTAGACAAAATGCTTTACAATAAAATTTTGCATTCAAAAGCCAAGCGTGCAATCATTCAGAAATGTTTAAAGCAGAACAAAGCAGCTCATACAACACAGTACTTGAGATGTGTACCCTGTATATATTTTCTGCACCTGAAACAAAAGTGGCTCAGTTAATAAAACAAGACGCACTAGCACAGCAGCTACTTCACAGAAGTTTCCCCTTCTTACTACAACAAGACGAGAAAGGACAGCCTACTTCAAATATTGCAGTATCTCGTATAAGCACCCAGGAGGGCCAGCTCACAAATGGAGAAGCTGGAACAAAAGCAGGAAGCCACCTCTGACATCCAAAACGTGATTAAGGAAATGTTTAGAAACACGTCATTTACAGATGGAGGCCCTTTGCAAAATGTTCTTCTTCCTTTTACGGTACCCATCAAGCAAACATACTCCTCTACAGGAAAAGAGGACTTAGCAACAACAAAAACCAGCTGTTTTATTAAGAGCTTAAAAAAATTGAGGGGAAAAAAACCAAGCCCAAACACACTAGAGAATGGTAAGCCTCTTAGTATCCTAGTTTGCAGTGCACAATGCAAACGGATATAAAAACTAATTTGATATCTACAGAAGTTCAGCCATATTTGGATTTGTTTTAATTCGGCATATTCTGTGAAGAATTTCATCACTCAACATTGTCAGACATTTCCTTATACCTTACAGTATAAAACTCCAGGTTATATTCAAATTCCCTCACCAGCAAAAAATGGTTTTTACTTTTTTCTTCCTCAGAACAATGAGACATCCGTTACAAATCAATTCCACTAAAACACACCATAGAGGTCTAAAAAGCCACTACCTTCTTGAAAATTAAATAGCTGCTAGGCACAAAATAAATTAAAACAATACAATGAAACACTCCAGAAGTTGTTATTGGTCTGATTAGGAAGAGGCGCAGTATTTAGGAACTCTCAGAATTCTAGCATCTTCAGAATGTGTGAGTGTTACTTAATATAATACTGAACAGATCTACGATTTATTAAATAATTTCCCTATTCAAAGTTTGTTTGTTCCTCACAATTAAATCAACAGGATTGAGTCCTGCCTCTCCAGAGGCCGCCTATAAAAGCAGAAGCTGTACTTCAGACTTTGATCGCACAGATGTTTGGAACAGTTTGACTCTGCCTGTGCTTCAAAGAGGCTTATAAGGTGCTCAAAAATTCTTTGACCTGCAAAAGAAACAAATATTGTCAATCAAACCAAGTACTTAACAACAGAAATAGACAGCAACTACATTTACCTCTCCCTTGTTTTATGCTTTACTGCTCCCTACAGAAACAGGAGTTGGGAAAAATAATCTTAGGCCCGGCTATGCCGCTTCTTGTCCATCAAGAACTTTTTCAGCCACAGCACCTGTAATTTAGCAGGTGTGGAGAAAGACGCATTGGAATGACCCTCATTCCTCCCGTGGTCCTAAAACACGGCCCTACATCACAAATGAATTATCTTAAAAGCAGGTCTAACCTAAACATGAGGAAGATAATGACCACCTCAAAACATGTCATTTGGAAAACACCAAGTCACACCCACTACCAGAACGCCGTTCATATTTAATGTCAATGAACAACCCGACACATCTAATGAGTATGCTCCTTGGAATTTGAGGTTGGCAACTAAGTAATAAAACAATACCTAGCAAAACCAGAGTGCCTGACAAAAATCCGATACTGTAGAACAGCGCCATAAATATTTCAGTTACTGTTGAACTCCATTTCCAGTGTTTGAAGAACAGCTCAAATGGCTACAGCCACCTAAAAATTAGCAGCGAAGTCCTGGCCCATAGAATGCTATCAAGAACCTTGAGTCACAAGTCCGTGATCCTGCGTAGAGCACGAGACCCGGTACAGCACCTCAGATAACCCATACGATTGCACGAGAACTGGATCCAAAACGGACAGCGTGCCAACCAGCGGGCTAGCGTTACGCTTCTAAGCGCGGTCGCTTTAAACAGCTGCTTAAATTCAGGTCACTACCAAAGGTTACAGGTAGACAACGCGCCGAGAACGCGCTTCTTGCCACAGGTACGCGTGCCTTTTGGTTGCATCCCCTCCACTCCCGCTCCCCAAAACTAAAAGAGTAATTACTCCCTCCCTTCAAAGCACAGGAGTAGGACCAGGCCACTTTGTGTAAAATACAACCACCCAGCAGATACGAGACCCACGGAACACAGGCTCTAGGTACAAAACCCCTCTCTCTGTTTCCAGAGCATCCTACCACCTACGCTGTGATATAGCCTCAACTGGGAGCCTTCTGTCCACTCAAGCCAGGCTACAGCATAGAAGGGAATTGACGTTTCACTAGAGAACACGCTGTTATTCTTTGGCAGAGGCTCTCGTGCACAGAGCGCATCTGTAAGCGTTTTGTCCAACTCCTTGATGTGAAATGGAAACAGATCTTGGATCGCAGTCTCCAACTGTGACCCTTCCCTTCCTAGTTCAGGACTCAAGGATGTGGAAAAAAATTTTTTTAAAAAGAGGTCAAATCCCTTCCCGTAGAGAAGGGAACACCTAACTGTGCCAATACTCTAACTTTAAAGGTATCAGGAGAAAGCCACCCTCCCTTCAAAAGGTGCAACAGTAATACTGCATCATGAGCCTTATCACAACTTGGACCCCGGGCAGTTTCAGGACTGGTCTCTGAGAGCGAGCATCACAACAATGGTGAGAAGGACACACAGGTTTGGGGTCCCGCTGGACACAAGCGCACAGCAAAGGCCAAAGCACCCAGCCTCAAAGCGTACAGCAGTTCTGGGACTCCACTTAGGAAATGCCAAAAAAAAAAAAGGCCAACACAGGGCTTGGGGTGCTCCCAGATAACCTGACTGCTACACGGGAGCGAACTCCTCTGAAATACCTTTTCAGGTGCCTGAGCTTGGCCTTAGCTCAAGGGGCAGACGGGAAGCATATTCACTGCACAGCTGCCATGTCCAGCCATTCTATCAATTAACAAGCTTTAAAAGAGCAAATATCATGAAGGCTGGTTTTAATCAGGTGAAGAGTTCTACTTCTCAGGGGATAAACTGAGATCAAAGGACAAAGCTGATTTTCCTGTGAGATAATTTATTTCTAAAGAGCAGAAAAATGTGCACGTACCATTGCTAAGGTCCATAACTCGTCACAACTACTCAAATAAAAGTCAAATTGTTCTCAGCTGAATCTCATCACGATTCAAATACTAGACACCTGAGCAGTTAAAACATTGATGGTTTGGCCACACTTTAAAACATTTATTACACCTGTTTGTGCTAAGGATTAGATCTTCTTAATGCAAATGGAAATCTCAACTTGAATTCTTTTTATATCAAATCAACTTTTTTTTTTCCATGCCTTTGAATAAAACACACTTGTGACATTCGGCATTACTTCCTGAACAAAATGAAAAGCTCCATTTGAAAAGCACTCCCTGAAGTTCTAGACCACTGCTTTTGAGCAAGGTTTTGAATAACACTTTAATAAACACAACTGAAGGGAAAAACTTGAATGATAGTGGCAATTTAATAAACAAAACTAAAAATAAGCAGTATCGCAGCAGGTTAGAAGACTGTTTGTTACCTGAATATAACTCCTAACTTAAATATTTTCGAAGGATGATTATACAGCGAAGTATATTTTTAGAGCTAATGATCCCCATTTGCATTAGCTGTACTGCCCTTTGCTAACCAGCAGAAAGGATAGCCCATACTGTCTTTCATATGTGCAAAACCTAAAGTGGATTGCCATTGGCTCACTGCTTTGGATCAAAATTCAGCCGCGGGTGCAGTAAACTCATCCTTCCCTTTTCCGTTGTGGTGCTTTTGTACTGTATTTTCACAGCACCTGGAACCAAAATTCTTGTATTGCCTACCACCGTAGGTTAGACACTTTCACACCTCGTACAAAGACAACTTTACCCCAGACATGTATCATCTCGGACCCGCGTTACCTTCTTTGTCTGTCCCTCAAGAGCTATCCTCATCCTCTCCCACTCCACCACATTTCATAGGATACCTGCACAATGCTAGAAGCAGGACACAGCAAATCATAGTTCTTTTAAACAGCTGAGGGTTATTTAAATGAGAAATTACATTTGCAAACAAAGCTACTAGTGAAAGTCTTCTCAAATAAGCCTGGAATATTTCCTTCTTTTTTTTTTTTTTTAACTTCTTTCTTTTCTAATGGAAAATTAAGGTAGGAAATAGCATGAAGAAACACAAGTTCTAAGCCTAGTCTGACTCAAAGAACGCTATGAGATTGCTTTGAGATGCAATAAGTATCCTGAATTCATTTTGACACGCTGGCAATAAACCAAAATCATCCGTCTATTCTGCTTGTGAAATTTTACCTTTTCAGTCATGTTATCGTATCTGTCCTTTTTGCCTTTGAAGTCTTCGTTAACATCTAACGTTAAAATCGGTATTTCCTGCAGATATTCAAAATCCGTTCTGTATTGGGATAAGAACAAAGAAAATATTTCTAGCTGGTAAAAAGTATACATCATTCAAGTCTCTGTCAGCATTTTCTTTGGTAAGAATCCCACGAAAAGAACTGCACATATAAGTTACAGCCATGAATTCTGAATACAAAGCAGCTTGGATTTACAGTGTGGCTCCTACGATACGTTATTGATACTTGAATATTCTGTTCCCCTAGCACCTAACGTTAAATTCGACTGTGGATTAAAATTAGTTCAGCTGAATCCTGTGCTAGTCGGAGCTCTTTGTGAAGAGAGCTCACGGCACGCTGCATGTCCTAGCAATAATTAACATGCTGTAAAGCCAACACTACACTAAGGAAGTATAGATAGAAATATTCCTGGAGTTTAACTTTACACAGCATAGGAAAAGGTGAAGTTTCACTGGTGGAAAAAGCATTATGGAACATCCTTACAAAGATTTATCCAACTTCAAGCATACATGAAACAAACCCTACCGCAGTGTCCTATGCTGAAGCCAACTTTCATGTTTGTAGTGAAGCTTCTCCAGATATTCTATGGGAATTTCTTGCTCTTCATCTCTTCCACGCAAGTAAATCCTATTCAAGCATTTCTAAAGGCAAAAGATGTTAAAACAAAAAGATTATTTTTTTGCCAACCCTTCCTACTGCACTCCACTCTTAGGCCAAAATGAATGTTCAACTTGCTAACTATCCTACAAGCACAGAAACGTAATGTCCTGTTCGGCTGATGGAGCCCAGGGACTACACACAAAATCAAAGAAGGACCCAGGAAACGTATCGCATAATTTCTCCGCTACAAGGAAAGGTCTCAAGTAAGCTCCTCATTAAAAGAAAGGGTACCAGTGAATTGCATGCAAAGAGCACAGAAACATCCATCTGACATGATAGATTGGCATTTCAAAAGTCTCATTATATCTTTCTGGCTCTTAAGAACCCAGTTTTCAAATGCAGTATATCATTTATTTGTTCCTGTCCTGAACACATCCAAAGCCTCAACAACAGCCCGATCAAAACGGTTTAAAATTGTTGTACTTTGTAATTGAAATATATGTTCTTGACTTGAAGAGGGGGGGAAAAAAAAGCCCTCACTATGAGCCTAGTCAAAAAAGCCCTCAGAGAAACTGCGGCATATTACATTACACAATTGTTTTCAACAAAGTTGAAAGCATGAAAGTTGCACGTAAGGAAGTATGGAAGTGAACTGTAAGTTAATGACTGCAATTAGAGCTCTTCTGAACTCTTCCGGTTGTCTCTCGTTCATTTAAGTTTCATATTCAAAAAGATATATTCATTACGCTGTTTCCTCGTTTTAAAAAAACTAATTTAAGAAGCCCAAAGATCAAAGCTTTGTCATAAAGCCTCACATACCGTAGGTGAGTTCATCTGGCTTAGCTCCATCGCTCCAAGTGAAAGGGCTTCACACACACACCCCCAAACCAGCTGTGATATGAACTACAAACTGTTATATCTATCACAGCAATGTTCCTACGGCTATTTTGGACTTTCCTCTGGTTTGCTCTTGTCATATATTCTGGTTTTATACCTAGGAAATCATTATCATTACATTTTATTTGAAAATACACAGGCTGCATTTAAAAGAACATTCTTTTTTAAGTATTTCCAGATTGTATGAGTCATAACTCAAGTATTATAGTCTTCAGGGGAATACTACAATCTGAACTGAGCTCTAATCATTAGGACTCTTACAGTGAAAGATAAGGGTAGCTCAAGATTTTGAGAAGATCACATTTCAAGGAGAATTTCTCCACTGTCTCCTTGCACAGGATGTTCAAAGCAATCCCTAAACAGAGATACAGCGATACGCAATGACACACAGTCGTGACCTTACTGAACTTGACTGCAAGCATATTATTCTTTTATCATAAAAAAAAAGGTCTAGGATCATAGCTAAACCTTACATTTAAAAAAAAAAATTACTATGGAAGCAAAGACAAAGGTCAAATTTTACGGGCAAGGCATAAACTGTGTGCTCTCATTCTCTGTGCGGTCCTAAGTTTTTATTCCTCACCTCAGGAGTGGCTCTGAGATAAATGATCCCATCCAGCGCTAGGCTTTGACCAAACTGCTTATTCATCCAGTCATGCCAGTCTTGGTAAATAGTCCATTCCGTTTCATTCATGCAATCAGACTCATATAAATTAGCAGCAAAGATATATCTGTGAACGCAAAATAGTTAGGTAAACACAAATTACCTTGAACACAGTTATCACTTTGTTTGCCTCAAGTACTGCAGAGTAACTAGAAAAGAAGCTGAGCGTAGTAATTCTGTAACATCTTTGATGTATGGTCAGACTGGAAATAAACAGCCGGTATCCTCACGCTGTAAACCATGTCTGCTGCCGTTGCCCATAGCAGTGTCCACAAAAAGCAGTAACCTTTGCAGCTCAGGAATCATCTATAAACCACCACTGGTTTGTACACACTGTGGTCATTTATTTACAAAGTATTAGAACACAGTGAACACCTAAGGCTTACGTGATGGGATTTAGCTATCAAATCTCACCTTCCGCACCCAGAAACACAGGGTACGGCAATATGAAATAGCTAAGCCTGGGTCAAGAAGCATAAAACAGAACAAGACTAAGCAACAAAGGAAGAAATTGCTCTTGACTCTTCTTGACGCCTTCTCCTCTCTTTTCTTTGAAGGGAAACATGCATGCAAAATCAGAAAAAACCTCCCCGCACAGAATGGCAAATTGCACGTAGCTAATAAAGGTTGAGAGGCTGCGGATGCCCCATCCCTGGAAGT